CCTCTGCCTCCCAAGTGTTGGGATTAAAGGCATGTGCCACCATGCCCGGCCCATAATAATAATAAATTTTTTAAAATATTTTTACAAAAAGATACTCTTAGTCCCAAAGAGCTTTGTTCAAATGGGTAAACAAACAGTGAGCATCTTGCAAAAGTGAAGTTGTATGTTAGGTCATGATACATATTATTGGAAAATTGAAGCAAGTAAGGAGTCAGAACAGAGAGTGGTCTATAGAGACTTAACTAAGAAGCTGGCAGGTGAGCTAACATGAAGAAACAGTGTTAGAATTGTGAATACCCACGGTCAAAGGGTTTTCCAGGCTGAGTTATTTGCCAATATAAAGGCTTGAGAGAGAAGTATACCAAGTTTATTTAAACCAGCAATTTACTGCTAGCAGAGTGAGCATGTATGAAATAATGGATGGGGACCAGAGGGCAATGTGCAAATTGTGTAAGGCTTCAGAGACCATTTGAGCACTTGAACTTTTCTGGAGTTAAATAAAGTGTCCTTGGATTGTTTCAAGCAGAGATGTAGCATCTGACTCAGAACTTAATAGGTTTGCTCTGCATGCTGGTTGAGAGTAAACTGTTTAAGGGGTCAGAAGCAAGGATGTGTGGTAGCAGGCTGTTGTCATAATCCAGGCAAGAATGATAGTTGTTTAAACTTGAGTGATTTGCAAAGAATACTATTTTGGGGGTCAAGATAATAGCATTCCTAGTAAATGGAGCGAGAACTTTAAGATTGGAGACAGTCAAGGATGACTCCTATAAGTTGGCCTAGGGAACTGGAAGGTTGGATTTATTAGCTAAAGTTAGGATGTTTATATCTGGAACCATGAAAATATGGGACAGTAGTACTGATTTTATATGTTGGTTATGAGAAATAGCACAGTATCTGGCACATAGCAGCCCAGGAGAAAAGCATTGTAGATCATGATCTTCATAAAAGGTTCTAAACTTTAAAGGAATGTTGCCACTGGTTATATAAATAGGGAAAGTTATTATCCTACTGGGCCTGACAAATCCAGTGACAGATGGTTGGTTCTGTTTTCTTCTTGAACATCTCAGAAGGAAATCTGAGAGTTGGATTAACTTATCAGTTATATATCTTGATACTGTGTTAGTATCTTTTTCCCTCAGATGGGTGGCCAGCTGTTCTTTTCTCTTTTTCTAAGTTATCTTCTCATGTGCTTAAAGGATAAGGAGAATCAATGAAATTTGTCTTACTGAAATGAAAAACCAGTGATAATACTGTTATATTTTCATTAATGGAATTACTAGATAATCATTTAAGAATGAAATTACTTTAATTTTTCCATTTTTCTCCTCAAGAATTGAAAAGGTATGGGTTCGAGATGGAGCTGCATATTTTTATGGCCCCATCTTCATTCACCCAGAAGAGACAGAACATGAGCCCACAAAAATGTTCTACAAAAAAGAAGTGTTTCTGAGTAATCTGGAAGAAACCTGCCCCATGACTTGTATTCTAGGTAGGTATTTGGGCTTTTTTTAATTTAATCACATTCTTTCAATAAAAACTGAGTAAATTCTACTTCTGTGCTAGATAATCTACCAGGTATTAGGTGTACTTGCGGTATTAAACTTTCAAAGTCTTTGTTTTCATAAACTGGGGCAGAAGTTAGGGACTTAGTAAATAACAAAAAGAGCATCAGTGGTGATTAGAGTTATAAATAAAAATAAAACAAAGTAGGAACAGTGACAGTAGTGGTGAGACAAGGTCCTGTGATGAGCTAAAACTTTCCAAATAGGTACTACGGGAATAGACACCTAAAGAAGTTTTAAGCTGTGCATTGTGGCACATGCCTTTAATCCCAGCACTCTGCGCTTGGGAGGCAGAGGCAGGCGGATCTCTGTGAGTTCAAGGCCAGCCTGGTCTACATAGTGAGTTCCAGGCCAAGCTGGGGCTACAGGGAGACCCTATCTCAAAAAGACCAAAAAAAGATTTTTTAGAGAAAAGAAAATCTGAGGTTTTACTCCATTTCTGGTTTAGCAAAAGCTTTATCTTAGATTATGTGGGCATATTTGAGACAAAAACTTTGGGTGACTAGAGCAAGGCAGGGGATGGGGTAGGGAATGAGCCCTTCGAGATGGCTGGACACTCAGACATGGTAGGCCTTGTAGACAGTGCAGCAGTTGGACTTGGTGGGGAAGCCTGGAGGTATTGGATAGAGTTGTAATACGAGCTGACACACATTAGAGACGGGAATCACTGGCTGTTTGTTGTATGAAGAATGTTGAAAGAGTAAGGTAGGAAATGGGAAGACAGTCCAAAGATTCATGGTCCCTGTTAAACTCTTAACCCTGATCATTATTGTCTTCATTCCAGAATAATACCTTGGCTTCTGTCTGGTCATCTACTGAGCATTTCTGTAGCATCCTGTTTCTTAGATCTAGTTTTGTACATCATCGTATACTAGCTATATTTTCAGCTGTTAGGTTTCTCCAAGCCCCAAGAGCCATGACTTACCTCTAGCTCTTTTTGTTTTTTGGTCTTTTTGCGCCACCACACCTAGCTTATCTCTAGATCTTAAACCAACTGCACTATATCTTTGAAACTGGGTTCCTAAAAGATTACTAATAACAAACTTTACACTGATAGCTCATATTTTGATGGTTTCTAAAATTATTTGTTCGGGTGCTAGAGAGTGAACCTGGGACCTTGTGCATGCTCAGCTCACATTCTACCATTAAGCTACACAGCAGCATCCCCAGCCCAAATGGTCATGGTTTTAAAGAAGCCACCAAAATCACAGCCAAAAAGAAATTTGCAGATTAAAACTTGTTAGACTTTGTTTGATGATGTTGTTTGCTAAGTTGTTTTGGTGCTTTTTTTCAGAATTAGTTATGATGAAACATTTTTTGTTTCCCTGTGCCCTCAACCCCCAGGCAATGGCCCAACTGGTCCAGCCCAAGGGCAGCCATGTTGTCACCTACAGCCCCTGAGGGCAGGGAGAACAAGGATGGTGTCATCACTGGGCATCAGTGAAACTTTTTAATAGTATAGTACAGTTTGCCTTTTTACCATGAGGAAAGTGAGTAAAGGCTAGTGAAATCATTAACTCCTTGACTTTCTGCAGCAGAAAATATATTCCTTTTAAAGTGTGATCTGAACTAAAGCAGTGCCTAAGGTCATTTCCTAATGTAAACCCAGCCAGGAGAGTCATTTGTTAATTAAATTTTTTTGTACAACCTTGCATATGAATTTTTTAAAAAAAATCTTTCATTCTTGAAAATATCATACATGTGTACAATATATCTTGATTATATCTACTCCCAGCTTCCTCCTCCTACTCCCCCTGGACATCTCCCAACACATCCCCTTCCCACCTTCATGTCCTCTCCTGTTTTTTATTTGTTTTGTTTTTATTGTTGTTGTTGTTTCTTTTGTTTTCTTTACCCCACTAAGTCCAGTTAGTGCATGCAGCCTGCTGGAGTGCTGACAGACTGTTGGCTTGATCTAGTAAATCTAGTACAGGGAACCATAGCCATAGTGAGTACATGATTGCCATGACCATGTCATGTCCAGAAGTCAGCATATCAGCACTCCTCCCCACTTTCTGGCTCTTCATTCTTTTTGTCCCCTCTTCCACTGTGTTGCCTGTGCCTTGAAGGGTTGATGTAGACATCTCATTTAGGGCTTGAGCATTCAACAGTCACTTACTCTTAGCACTCAAGTCTCTGCATCTACTAGAAGCTTCATGTTTTGGTTTCCTGGAAATGCCATAGCTTCTGCAGTTTTGAAGGGTAATTTTGGTACATAGAGAAGTCTTCATATTTTTCTTCTTTTAATGCCTTCCATCAAATTTTGGGGAGTTTGAGCCATCATTTCTTCCAAGTACTACTCTACCTCTTCTAGGACTCCCATTATACATTTTTGGTATACTTAATGGTGTAAAGATCTCTTAGACTCTTGATTTTTCTTCATTCTCTCTTTCTGCTCCTAAGATTAGATTTCCTCTGACCCATCTTTTTTTTTTTATTTTACTTTTATTTTATGTATATGAATGTTTTGCCTGTGTTGTATGTAAGGGCACCTGTGTCATGTGTCATGTGTCATGTAAAACCTGCAGAGGCCAGAAGAGGGTATCAAATCCCCTGGTACTAGAGTTAACAGATGGTTGTTAGCCACCATCTGGGTGCTGAGATTCAAACTCGGATCTTCTGGAAGAGCAGTCAGTGCTCCTAACCAGCCCCTTCTGACCAATCTCTAAGTACACTAAATCTTCTCCATGCGCAAATCTTCAGTTAAACTCTAATAAACTTTTCATTTAGGCTATACTTGTCAGCTGTAGTTTCTGTTTATGGTTTGTTTTCGGGGGGGCAGTGTTGGGACAAAATCTCATGTAGCTCGAACTGGCCTCAAATCATTATGTAGCTTTGATTTGAACACTTGATCTTCCTGCCTCTGCCACTCAAGTGCTAGGATTACAGGTGTGTGCCACCTTACCCTACTGTATTTCATTTTTATGTTCTCTCTGGTTAGTGTTACTTTATATTTGGTGAGACTTTATTTGGGGTTTGGGGGGTTGTTTTTTGTTTGTTTGTTTGTTTTGTGTTTTTTTTTTTGGTCTTTTTGAGACAGGGTCTCCCTGTAGCCCCAGCTGTCCTGGAACTCACTATGTAGACCAGGCTGGCCTTGAACTCACAGAGATCCATGTGCCTCTACCTCCCAAGTGCTAGGATTAAAGGCATGCGCCACCCCCACCCCCAAATTTCATTCCAGTTTTTGTACTTCAATCCCTGAGTATATTTAAGACAGATGATTTAAAGTCCTTGTTTAGCCTAGTGTGGCAACACACACCTGCAATTCCAAGACTTCAGAGGCTAAGGCAGATACAAATATTGCTGTATGTTTAAGGCCAGTCTGGGGTAAATAGTGGGTACCAGGGCTGCCAGGACCTTGTCTTAAAGGTGTGTTGTAAGTCTACTATCTGAGCTTTCTTGGGAATAATTTCTTTATTTTCTTACACTTTCTTTTTCTTTCTATCCCATATATTTTGTTCTGCTAGATAATGTGATGACTCTGGAGATCAGATTCTTCCCCCATCTGAGGCTTTGTTGTTACTGCTTGTTATGGGTGAAGATCTGTATGAGATCACTAAAGTTTCTGTTAGTTTAGTGGTCAATGATTGGGGGGTTTGGGGGGCAGGTTCTCCCTAGTCTCAGCCCACATGAAAGTCACTATGTAGACCAGGCTGGCCTTGATCTCATAGAGATCCACCTGCCTCTGCCTCCCAAGGGCTGGGCTTAAAGGTACACACCACCACCCCCGGTGTAGTGGTCAGTGGTTTGACAGAGCTTTTTTGTTTTGTTTTGTTTTGAATGCCTAGAGCCAAAATTTCTCAGAACGTTGGAGGATACCTTCAGTGTTTAGTTAGCCATGCAGTTGACAGCTCTGTTCGTTTTTCCTGCTTGCATACTACCTGAAGTTCAGCCACTTGTGAGAGTTTAGGGATTTTTCAGATCTTTCCTGAGCATGCGCTCTACCATCCACACGTGTATGACTTTCTGGGTTCCTAGGAATATGTAGAAATGTTTCAGAATCTGTTCTCAGGTGAGTAGAATGAGGTCTGTGCAGGCTGCAGTGAGGCCAGAAGAGGCAGTACCCCAACAAAAGAACTTATGAATGGCCTAGCTGGCCACTAACCTGTCTAGTGATTCTATGGGCTTGGGTGGGAAGTACAGATTCCAGCAAGGCAGCAGTGTTCACAGTGGAGAAGATCTTTGCAAGGCAGTGTGCTACGGCTGCATATCTGTATAGATGGTAGTATGAGCTGAACCTGCCACCTCAGTAGAATTCAGTATTCCTTCTAGCACTATATTCATAGTTCATAGGAGACTGCAAAAGTATAGCCCATCACAAAGTATGTGCTACTTCAGGAACATTGCTGACAAGACCAAAGTAACCTTTGTAGGAACATCTAAGACAAAGATATCCTGCTCTTGGATGGTTTTGTTTATAGTCATTTGTTTTGTTTTGTTTTGTGACAGGATCTCACTATGAATCCCTGTAACTCACTATAGAGACCAGACTGGCCCCCAAACTCTGAGATCTACCTGCCTGTGGCTCCCGAGTGCTGGGATTAAAGGCATGTGCTACCACACCCAGCTCATTTTTTATTGAAAAACAAAAATCATACAGAGAGACAATGTATCCAGAAACAGCCACCCTACATCCCCACAATATGGGCTGGATCATGGTTCTAGACAATCATGAGATACTTTTAGATGGAACTCTGGAAAATCTTGGTGTCAACTCATTGAGATGACATAAAAGTTGTAAGCAATGAACATTTAACCTAGTTGTTTAAGAAGACACATGTTAAGCCAGGGCAGTGGTACAGGCCAATATTCCCAGCTACTTGCAGGTTGAGAGTACAGGAATTTGAAGCCAGCCTGGGCAACATAGACCAATCTAAAAAAAAAAGGGTCAGGGGGAATGGTGAGGTGGCTCAGCAGGCAAAGGTAC